TTTTGAGGAGCTGCCAGACTGTCTTCCCCAGCGCCGCACCGTGTATCCCATCTGCCGCCATGCAGGAGGCACCATTTCTTCACCTGTCGTCGTTGTGCTGACAGCAGCCATTCTTTTTTTTTTCTTTGAGATGGAGTTTTGCTCTGTTGCCCAGGCTGGAGTGCAGTGGCGCAATCTCAGCTCACTGCAAGCTCCGCCTCCCAGGTTCAAGCGATTCTCCTGTCTCAGCCTCCCAAGTAGCTGGGACTACAGGCACGCACCACCTCGCCTGGCTAATTTTTTTGTATTTTTAGTAGACACAGGGTTTCCAGCGTTTCACCATGTTAGTCAGGCTAGTCTCGAACTCCTGATCCGCCTGCCTCAGCCTCCCCAAGTGCTGGTATTAGAGGCATGAGCCACTGCACCCGGCTGACAGCAGCCATTCTGATGGGCGTGAGGCGTCTGGGAGCTGATTTGGTTTGCTCCTTTTTGGGTGTTGCGCTCTTCCTCCCCAGCCTGGGCTGCTGCCCCTCATGACCCGAGGCTGTGTTCAGATGGGTTCATGGCTGTTGCTCTCCTGCCAAGCTCACCACTCTGCCTTGTCCTGGCTGTTCTGCCGTTGAGCCCACACAGGGAGGGTCTGTTTTTCAGGTCTGAAATTCCCACTGGGCTCTTCTTGTATCTTCCATGTCTTTGCTGATGCCCTGGTGATCTGTTGGAGTGTTTTCCTAAGAGCTACTTTAAAGCTTAGGCCAGCTGGGCATGGTGGCATGTGACTGTGGTCCCTGCTACTCGAGAGGCTGAGACAGGAGGATCGCTTGAGCCCTGGAGGTCGAGATCAGCCTGGGAACATGGCAAGACCCCAGGACTACAAAAAATTTAAAAAATTAGCCAGTACTAAGAAATCAGTACAGCAAGCCTCTAGTCCCTGCTACTCGGGAGGCTGGGGTGGGAGGATCTCTTGAGCCCAGGAGTTCAAGGCTGCGGTGAGCCCTGATTATGCCACTGCACTCCAGCCTGGGCAATAGAGCGAGACTCCAAAAAAGAAGACAGAAAGCTTGTGTCGGAGAGTCCTAGTGTCCGTCCACCTTGGTGTGCCGACGGCCTTGGCTTGGGGTCTGTGGGTTGGGGTCTTGATGTTGGTTTCTGCCAGTGGCCTTGGCATTGGTGCCTCAGCATTGGGGTCTGAACATTGGGGTCTGGGTGTTGGGGTCTGGGTGTTGGGGTCTGGGTGTTGGGGTCTGGGTGTTGGGATCTGGGCGGTGGGGTCTGGCCGGTGGGGTCTCGGTGTTGGGGTCTGGGTGTTGGGATCTGGGCGGTGGGGTCTGGCCGGTGGGGTCTCGGTGTTGGGGTCTGGCCAGTGGGGTCTTGGTGTTGGGGTCTGGCCAGTGGGGTCTCGGTGTTGGGGTCTGGGTGGTGGGGTCTTGGCATTGGGGTCTGGGCATTGGGGTCTTGGTGTTGGGGTCTGGGTGTTGGTGTCTTGGCATTGGTGTTTGCTCATGGCCTTGGTGCTGGGGTCTTGGCGCTGGGGTCTTGGCATTGGTGCCTCAGCATTAGGGTCTGGGTGTTGGTGCCTTGGTGTTGGTGTCTGCCGATGGCCTTGGCATTGGTGCCTTGGTGTTGGCATCTGGGTGATGTGATCTTGGCATTGGGGTTTACTGACAGCCTTGCCATTAGTGCCTTGGCATTGGTGCCCTGGGGCTGGGGTCTTGGCACTGGGGTCTGCCAAGGGCCTCTCCGTATGAGTGGATTCTCCCGGTTTTTCCTTGGAGTCCTCTGAGCTTCTGGGCCTTGTTCCATTCTGTGGAGGACGTGGGTGGTCAGGTCTCAGCTGCAGGTGCCTCCTGCCTTCTGGGGACTGTGGCCCCAAGTGCACCGCCACCTACCCAGCCTCTGTCCTCTCAGTGCTGCCTCTTGTCCCTGGCCTGGCGGGACCCGGCCGTGGCCTCTGGACTCTGCTTGGGCTGCTCTTTGGGGCGGGCTCCGCTTCGAGGGGCGGGCCCAGCAGATCCTGAGCCGCTGCTTTTCCACGCACCTCCCTCGCTGGGGCTCTGGTTACCCCACTCCGCTGGCTTCTTCCACAGTCGCTTCGGGGGCCCAGTGGCAGGAGGGCGGAAGGACAGACTGCTCAACTCACTGCCAGCTCAGGAGCTTTTCGGATTCTGGTCTTTGTCCCCAGCTGCCTCTGGCTGCCTTGGGGCCCTCAGGTGTCAGCTCCCACTTCTGTGTAGGCCGGAGCCCCTCCCACGGGTGCCATGGGCCACTCCCTCACCCGAGCCCTTCCCGTTTTGTGTTTTAATAATTAGGAAATTCGCAAAATTAAAAGGTCAACACATATAGCTGCGAGGCAGTATTTGCACATAGTGGGTGGTTTTTTTTTTTTATGTTTTTGAGGTAGGATCTCGCTGTATTGCCCAGGCTGGAGTGCAGTGGTACAAACACGGCTCACTGCAGCTTCAACCTCCTGGGCTCAAGTGATGCTCCTGCTTCATTCTCCCACATAGGATCCTCCCGCCTCAGCCCCCGCCCTTGAGATCTCCCCCTCCCAGCTCCCCGCAGGATCCTCCCACCCCAGCCCCTCACATAGGATCCTCCCACCTCAGCCCCGCGCCGGATCCTCCGCCTCAGCTCCCCGCACCAGGATCCTCCCACCCCAGCCCCTCACGCATGAGATCCTCCCACCTCAGCCCCCGCATAGGATCCTCCCACCCCAGCCCTCACATAGGATCCTCCCACCCAGCCCCTCCACCATGGATCCTCCCACCTCAACCCCGCATGAGATCCTCCCACCCCAGCCCCTCATAGGATCCTCCCCACCCCAGCCCCCGCATCAGATCCTCCCGCCTCAGCTCCCATGAGATCCTCCCACCCCAGCCCTCACATAGGATCCTCCCCCCAGCCCCCTCGCCGGATCCTCGCCTCAGCTCCCCGCATAGGATCCTCCGCCCCAGCCCCCACCCCACCCCACCCCACATGAGGATCCTCCCACCTCAGCTCTCCCACATGGATCTCCTGCCCCCAGCCCCCACACTTGGATCCTCCCGCCCCGATGCCCCTCTGCGTAGGATCCTCCCGCCCCAGCGCCCCCACATAGGATCCTCCAACCTAACCTTTTATAGGATCCTCCGCCCCAACCCCACATAGGATCCTCCCGCCCCAGCCCCGCTCGCGCAGAATCCTCCGCCTCAGCCTCCCACATAGGATCCTCCCGCCCCAGCCTCCAGCATAGGATCCTCCCGCCCCAGCCCCCCTCTGCATAGAATCCTCCCGCCTCAGCTTCCCACATAGGATCCTCCCGCCCCAGCCTCCAGCGCAGGATCCTCCGCCCCCAGCCCCCTCTGCATAGAATCCTCCCGCCTCAGCCTCCCGCCAGGATCCTCCCACCCCAGCCCCGCATAGGATCCTCCCGCCCCAGCCCCCTCTGCATAGAATCCTCCGCCTCAGCCTCCCGCTGGATCCTCCCCAGCCCCCGCATAGGATCCTCCCTTTACTCCATAGGATCCTCCCGCCCCAGCACCATGGAGGATCCTCCCGCCCCAGCACCCCCACATAGGATCCTCCCACCTCAGCCCCCCGCATAGGATCCTCCCGCCCCAGCTCCCAGCATAGGATCCTCCCACCCCAGCCCCGCTCTGCACAGGATCCTCCTGCCTCAGCCTCCTGCATAGCTGGGACCACAGGCGTGAGCCACCCGGCCTGACTTGCATGTACTTTTATTTATTTATTTTTGAGACAGAGGTTTGCTCTTGTTGCCCAGGCTGGAGTGTGGTGGAACAATCCCAGCTCACATGCAATCTCTGCCTCTTGGGTTCAAGTTCAAGCAAATCGCCTGCTTCGGCCTCCCAAGTAGCTGGGGTCACAGTCATCTGCCACCATGCCTGGCGATTTTTTTTTTTTTTTTTTGAGACAGAGTGAGACTCTGCCAGGCTGGAGTGCAGTGGTGCGATCTCAGCTCACTGCAAGGTCCACCTCCCGGGTTTACACCATTCTCCTGCCTCAGCCTCCCGAGTAGCTGGGACTTCAGGAGCCCGCCACCACGCCCAGCTAATTTTTTTTGTATTTTTAGTATAGGCGGGGTTTCACCGTGTTAGCCAGTATGGTCTCGATCTCCTGACCTCGTGATCTGTCCGCCTCGGCCTCTCCAAGTCCTGGGATTACAGGCATGAGCCACCGCGCCTGGTCTGTTTTTTGTATTTTTAGTAGGGACAGGGTTTCACCGTATTGACCAGGTTGGTTTCCAACTCCTGACCTCAGGTGATCCACCCACCTTGGCCTCCCAAAATGCTGGGATTACAGGTGTGAGCCACCGTGCCTGGCCTCTGCACACACTTTTAAAAATACCAATCTTTGGCCGGGCGTGGTGGCTCAAGCCTGTAATCCCAGCACTTTGGGAGGCCGAGACGGGCGGATCACGAGGTCAGGAGATCGAGACCATCCTGGCTAACACAGTGAAACCCCGTCTCTACTAAAAAATACAAAAAACTAGCTGGGCGAGGTGGCGGCGTCTGTAGTCCCAGCTACTCAGGAGGCTGAGACGGGAGAATGGCGCAAACCCGGGAGGTGGAGCTTGCAGTGAGCTGAGATCTGGCCACTGCACTCCAGTCTGGGCGACAGCGCGAGACTCCCTCTCAAAAAAAAAAAAAAAATTCCCAATCTTTTTCCTTACACAGGGGGAGAACTCTGTCTCAGTCGACGGGAAGTGCAGTGACTCCACGCTGCTGAGCAACTTGTTAGAAGAGATGAAGGCGACGCTGGCCAAGTGTTGAGAGCTGCCTGCGAGCCCCGCCCACCCGGGGACCACAGCCCTGACGTGTCTCGCCTCTCCTCGGTCGTGTGTACTGTACGAAAGCCTGAGTGTTAATTTAACTCCATGTTGTCGCCCACCGTGTAGACGTCCGAGGTCGTACGTTGCGTTGAATTATCCGACCGTCCTTTTTTACTGTGACTCTTCCCACTCTCTTTGGCAAGAAGTCCCCTTCACGTCCCCAGACCAGCAAGGGCACCCCTACCTGGCCTGTGCCTGCCCTGCGCTGGAGGCCGAGTCCTTGAATGTGGCTTCAGGGGCTCCTGTCCTGGGCCAGGGCCCAACGGGCACCACATGAGGGGCACTTGGTGGACAGGGTGGGGCTGACGTGGCCTTCTCTGAGGTCACCTGCTTTTGTCCCAAAGGTCCTGACAGTGGCGTCCGGGGAAAGGCAAGGAAGGGCCGCTGTCGCCAAGGTTTTCTGTCCCAGGCCCACAGTGGGAAAGCGGGTTTGCTGGGCGTTGTCCATCATCAGTGTGCTCGTGGGCTGTGGCTGGCCCTGGGATCCCAGGCCACGCGCCAGCCAGGCTGTGGGCAGGGAGGGGCCAGGGACGCCAAAGAGAGGTTGCCGTCAGAGCCATGGACCGGGCGGGAGGAGGCCTCTGCCACCATTCTTCCTGGTCAGCAGAAGTGCAGCTCGACGGGCTTAGGTTTGGGGTGGGGGTGCGGTCGCGTCCCTTGCTCGCCACTGTGCGCACCAAGGTCTCCCCCCGTCCTTCCCAGCACTGTTAGGAAGGCCTGGGCAGGGCCTGGAAGCTCCCGACCCGGGCTGCTCTCCTGTGTTGAAGGAGTGTGCCCAGTGCCCTTGGGCAGGACCTGGAAGAGCCCCCACCAGGCAGGGCAAGGGGCCTCCGCTCAATCCCCGTGGCCAGTGTGGGCACAGGACTGACCCTTCCTCAGAGATAATGACATTTTATCTTTTCCTTTTGATGAAAACTGTCACTTTAGCATGTAATCTATTACAGAATCCCGTGCAGTGATTCTAGGATTTGAAATTATATGATGTGTTACATAAGAGTTTATTTGCTGTCGACATTCCCGTATAAAGAAGAGACATATCACGCTGCTGCCATGATTTTGTGTCAAGATGATCCAATAAAGTTGTGAAACAGGCATTTCCACACGGGGTCTTCTGCCTGACCTGGTCACGCGGCGCTGCGGGGTTGGAGCCTCTGCGCCTCAGCTCACGGGCCCTTGGGAGGTGGCCTCCGTCCCCAGCACCATCCAGGCCTGGGGCTCGGGCAGGCACAGGCCAGGGAATCCCCCACCCCCTGGAGGCCTCGGTTCCCAGCATCTCCCCCCAGGGCTGTGCAGGGGAGCAGGTGCCCGCTCTCCCTCCCCTTCCGCAGGAGCCCCTCAGGGCAGGGACAGATCCAGAATTGAGAACTGCGGAAGAGCAGCCACCCCGCCCCTGGGTGAATTTGCCTCCTTTTACACCAGCCTTACACCTTGAAGATGGGAGCCTCGAGCAAGGTGACACTGGGTCAGTGAAGCCCCTGCCAACTCTAACCCAAGACGCGGCCGTGGTGGCAGGCATTTGGTGGCAGGGGGCGCAGAGCAGCACAGACGGGACCCCAGCCCCGGCCCACACCAGCGTCCTTTATAGAAAACCGTGCCTTGAAAGCACCTGCCGCGAGCCTCTTTCCTGTTAAATACGCTCGCCGGCCTCCAAGGAAGCATCCTTCACAGCCAGGACCCGGCGCCACCACTCCAGATGCTGTCCTCAGTGGCCACTACCACGTTCTCCCCTGACACGCGTATGGCTCCCATGTCCCACGGAGCCTGGGAGGCACTCGGCCACCTTCCCACACGCCGTTCCTGACAGCGAATGTGCCCGTGTGCCCCTCCTGTGATGGAAGCCTGAGGCGGCCGCGGAACAGTGCGTGGGGCCCATGCTGGCAGCGTCAGTGTGCTCAGGGGTGTTCTCACCAGTGTCCTGCAGCCGCCCCAATGCCGGAGCAAAGGGACACTCGAGGAAGTGAGGAGACGGGCAGAAAGCGAGGAGACCACCGGGCTGATGTCGCCCGAGTGAGAGTGGGACTTGGAACGGCACCACTGCACAGATGGAACACGAGTCCCTCCCTCCTGTGTCTCAGGACTGGTCAGGCAGTCGTGGCCCCGGCTCTGGCCATCATGCCACACCTGTTGCTGCCACAGAGATGACTAGAGACAGCCACAGTTCCTGCGTTCCTTGGCTCGGGTCCGATGTGAGTGACCCCAACACCTAAACGCACTAGTGCTGGCCCTGGTCTCGACCATACTGTGGCCTCGCTTTGGGTGGAAGAACCCAGGCACTCTGTGGGCTTGTGCAAGCCTACCCGTGTGTGCTCAGGTGGGCCACGGCCCCACATCTAGGAGTCCGGGGACACTCCCTGAGGCCCTGTGAGTGGCTCCAAGTCGGCCCCCATGGCTGCGGACCTGAGGCCAGGACCTGCCCTGCTCTGTCTGGGACTTTCAGGGCTCCCCAGAAGTCCACCTCCAGCCCCCAGGGGCTTCCCCCTGCTCCGACAAGAACTCTTCTGCAAAGAGAAACATCAGGGACTTTAATCATCAGTCTCGCAGCTCCGCAGACCTGCCCAGGCGCTGACGCTGTACACGGCCCACCCCCGCTCCCTCCCTCCCGCCCTCCCAGCCCTGGCCAGCTCAGGCTCTGTCTGGGGTTGGAGGGGGGGTCCTGAGGCAGCAGCAGCCCAGCTCCAGAGGGACAGGCGGGGGCTGTCCAGCTGAGTCCTGGCCCCACGTTGCGCTGGGGCAGGCCCGGCTGCTGTCAGGGCTGCTTGAGACACTCGGCAGCATCTTCCAAGGTCAGGTTGGCCAGGTGTGGGGGCTCCAGACACCTGAAGGCCGGCGATACCAGGCTGTGGGGAGACGAGGCTGCCTCAGCTCTCCATGTCCCCCACCCCCTGCCTCCCTCCCTGGGGGTCTTTGCTGGGGGGCCCCAGGCCTCTCCTCCCCGCTGGGATGTGTGGTCCTATGTGTGGCCACATTCACGACACCCGCGTGCCTGGGATTTCAGAAGGGTGTGGGGGCCGTGGCACGCAGTGCTTAGGAGCACCCCTTCTCCCGAGGCCTCCCTTCTCTAGGTCACTCACAAGGCTGGGGTGGCTCTGTATGTCCCAGGCCAGGAGAAGGAGGAGGAGCGTAGTTTGTTCATGAAACCACCACATGGGTGTGGTTGCAGAGGTGACATCCAGCAGGTGTCCCAGGTATAGGGAGAGCCCCACCTGCAGTACCCCCACTGACCTAGAGGACCCCCAGTTCCCCCCCTTCCTTTACTCCCTTCCCCTGAAGGTCAGGTCAAGGCAGCCTTACCTCATGCTCACGTCCTGTCTGAAAGGCAATATGGGGCAGTCAGCTCCTCCATGGGGCACCCCTAACCATCGCAGGGAACCCTCCCAGGCTCTGACCACAGACCTGGGGCAGCGGTGGAACCAGACCCTATGGGGACCCTTTAGGCAGGATGCCCCCCTCCCGCTAAGGATCAGAGACCTTTGAGGGTGAAAGGGACTGCGGCCACCTCCTGCGCAGAGCTGGGTTGGACGTGGGAGCTGAGGGAGCCAGCCTGTGCCCCACACATACTCACCCACGAGGTGCTCACACACGCACACTGCCTGTGTCGGTTTGAGGAGGGGACTTACTTGTGCCAGTTATTTCTACAAGGACAGTGGGTTTGGACTCAGGAGGCCGAGTGGCCACGGCCAGTGTTCCCTCCCAGGCCCAGGTGAGCTTGCTGCCGCCCCAAGACCCCACTCACATGTAGTTCAGCAGGCCCTGGACAGCTGACTCCCACTGCTCCGAGGACCTACGGGACGTGGGCTTGGAAGTGGTGCGCCCCTGAACCCCCGAACCCACCCTACCCCGATGAGAAGGGCCAGGTGGAAGGTGGGGAACCCCCTCCAAGGAAAGCCTGGGACCCCAGGGACAGCAGGGCCCTGGCACGGGTGGGTGTGATGCCTGAGCCTTACTCGCAGTTATAGCCAAAGCAGGCGACGTGCGAGTCTGTGCAGTTGTTGCAGGAGATGGTCTCGTACTGGAAGATGCCTGAAACACACCACAGCCGCCAGGGCTCCCCTCGGCCTCCAGGGCCCTGAGCTGCTGCCAGCGCGCCCCTCAGCCCGGACAGAGCCTGGCTTACCACAGTGGCGCTGACAGTCGAGGCGACCTGTGGGAAGGCAGGACAGTGCAGTCTTACCAGGCCCAGCCTTGTCCCCAGTCCTGCCTCCTCCCAATCCGTCAAAGCCTCGGGGCCTGTCCCTTGCCACTGGGGCCCAGGCTCACCTGGTTTTCATGTATGTGTGTCCATGGCCCAGAGAGAAGGGGTCCCCAAGGTGACCCCCAGCGTGGGATGGAGCAAACTTCAGGGGAGGGCGTGGCGATACTCCCAGCGCCTCTGGGGGCTACTTAGGGGAGGTCCCGCGGGGTGATGGCATTGATCCTTCAGGGGCTGGGCTGGGTCCCTCCCTGGGGAGCTGCCCTCCTCCCCAGCTGCCCGGTGCCAGGTGCCCTGTTCACATCGCTCCAGCCTCAGCCAAGCCCCGTGGGTCTCCGAGGCTCTGGGCAACACCTCCCTCCCCTGAAGCCTTATTTGCTCACTTTCAATGATGGCGTTCTGGATGAGGCGCACCTGCTCCCGGAAGATGTTTCGCAGCTGGTTGGGGAAATACCCTGAGGAGTCCAGGCAGGAGAAGGTCAGGCTCAGACGGTGGGCGGGGTGTCCTGGGGTGGGCGGGCCCCGCCTGGGTTTCGCGCCCCTTACCCGGGAAGTACATCTTCCCCTGGTACAGCTGATCCATTCTCTGGTACACCGCTGTCGCCACTTGGTCCAGCTTCTCCCGGGCTGCGGGCAGGAGAAGCAGCCAGGTGACTGGCCTGCCCGGGGGTCTCGCTGGGGGGGGAGTCGGGACTGGGCTGGGCTCCGGCACTCACTGATCTCGGCGGGGATGGCCAGGTGCAGCTCCTTCATCGTGTCGTCGCTCCAGTCGGTGAGCAGCGCCCCTGACACGGGGATGTCGCCCACCCACCAGGACTTGAGGTTCACATGGTGGCGGTAGAAGGAGAACTTCTCGGAGAACTTGCTGTGGCAGTGCAGACAGCCGTGGGCCAGCGCCGCCGTCACGCCCACCAGGCACAGCAGCAGGGCCATGCCCATCCCGGCCCGCCGCCGGCCAACCAACGGCGCTGCTCGCGCCACACCCCTCAGCCGCGCACCAACCAACGGCCCCCACTCGGGCACTAGGCCGCGCCTCCTCCCCCGCCCACCCAACCGGCGCAGGCCCCGCCCCCTCCAGGGCCCAGCCCCGCCTCCGTCCTCAGCGGACTACTGACGGCGCCGGTTCCGCCTCCAGGCCCCGCCCACGATCCGCCCCTTAGGAGACTCCGCCACTAGGTGGGCCCTGCCCCCAGGCCGCGCCCTACGCATGCGCCAATGGCCCGTGCCGGCTCCTAGGCCAGCTCCCGCTGAGGCACCGCCCCGTGTCCCGGCGACGGTACAGGCTCCGCCCACAGGCCGCAGTCCCGGTTGCTAGGCAACGGAGACCTCCGCCCTGCCCGGCCCGGCTCGGCCTGGCCCTGTCAGGGCGTCCCAGGGCTGCTGCCTGGAACTTGGCTCCGTGCGCCTTCGCCGCCCGGGCCCCTTATAGCCCGCCGGGCCGAGGACGGGAGACCCCTACACGCCGCTTCGGCGCGGAGCCCCGGGCCCTTTAAGGAAAGTAGGTCCGGTCCGCGGGTGCGGTCGGACGTGCGTGTAGGCGTCCTCCGCGGCCGTGTCCTTCCGCGGCGGCTGCGAGGCGGGGCGGCGGCAGAGGCGGCCAGGTGGGTGCCGGGAGGGGCGAAGGCGGGCGGCAGAGGCGGCCAAGTAGGTGCCCAGGAGGCGCGAAGGCGGGCGGCAGAGGCGACCAGGTGGGTGCCCGGGAGGAGCGAACTTAGGCGGCGAAGAGACCGAGCCCTGAGGAAGGGCGAACCCTGGCGGCGGGGAAGCTGGATCCCTCAGGAGAGGCGAACTTAGGCGGCGGGGAGGCCGAGCCTTCAGGAAGGGCGAGGCCGGGCGCGGTGGCTCACGCCTGTAGTCCCAGCACTTTGGGAGGCCGAGGCGGGCGGATCACCTGAGATCAGGAGT